AACCCTTCTTGGGGTGTATGTGTGGAGATTCCTCCCTTGGGTGGGGATGCCCTCTAAGAATACTCTTAGGCTGAGAGAAACAGATCTCCACACAAGCATTGGTATGGGTGAGATACATCAAATCTCTACTTATTTCCTTTTTGCTAGCTTTAATATAATTGTTTTGATTATTGCTTCAATATAGTGCACTATCCTATCTTACACTATACTACTAGTAGTTTCAGCGGTTATACTGTGAAGTAAATAATTCTGATTAAGATCTTTTGCCTGATCATTTGTAATAAGAAATTACTCATTTTATATAAATATTCTCATTTTGTCAATCATTAAAACCTGCTCTACAAAAGTGGTTCAACACACCCCTGCAATTCCTTAAATTTAAACCATTGACATAATGCAAGGCTAAGATTGGATTCAGCCACATCTAGACTCCTCTCTGAGAAGGGATTTAAAAAGCAAGGCAGTCCTTTCTGCACCTCTGCACCTACTGACTCAACAGTAGGGCTTTTTAATAAATTTTGTCTAGGCCTTCCACTCCCACCTGCAACACCCAGTCCTACCCTGCACCCAGGCTTCTCAACGTTTTCTAGGCAGAGGTGAAGCACTCCCATTGGTGTGAACAGACAGCACTGGTCCAAAGGCCTTTTGCTTTGTGATTAGACGCGGTGACTTCAGTCTAGGAGATTCCTCAAGTGTATGGAGGAATGGTAGCAACCTTGTTGATTCTGTGATTCATTATAACTTCCTAGGAAAATCATCTAGAACTTGTATGGAAATCTGCTTTGCTGTCTGCTTTGGTTTTACAGCTTATAGGGAAGAGGGTCAGCCCAAAGGCAAGAAATGACACAGCCTTACATTCACTGCAGACAAATGATGCAGATTGCTAGAATCAATTGCCTAATGGACTTATGCTTAAACCATTCTTACCTTAAAGCTCACAAGGGCAAAAGCTGAAGTTTGAACAGGGAATGAGGTTAAGAAAAAAAATGAGAGAGCAAGTACACATCACTAGAAAATCTGTTGCATCAGGTAATTAAGCACATTGGCATCAAAGTTTTAATTTAACAGACTGTATCAGCAGACATTGAAATACTGGGATGCAAATAAAGGAAATCGAAAAGGAAAATCTCACTGCTTTAACTACCTCACCTAGGAAAGAGGACTTTGGTATGAATTCAACTTCTTACTCACAAACATCACTTTATTCCTCCTGTCCTATAGTCAAGCTTAGGACAGCTTTGTCCCTCTGCCCCTGTTCCAAATACAGCAGTGATGTTCATGTCTGTACTCACTCAAATAAAGAGACTGACACTATGTCCTGTTCTTATACAGGAGAAAAAAAAAAAAAAAAAAGAGAGAGGAAAAAAAACATAAAGGGTTCGGAGGTTTTTGCTGTACTTTTACATTCAAAACACTCCCAAGCAGTCAATCCTGACTCCACCAATGGGTCTAATCTGACCTACCTACCATTCAAAACCAACCCGAGATAGATTCCTTCCATGCATGAATGGGAATTTCAGAGTACCAGAATATGATGGGACTCAAAACCAGACGCACAGGAAACTAAGGCCCAATGATATTCAGAATTGTCTTCTTCCCAGTTTTCAGCTATGTTGGCCTGGAACAGTACAAGTCTATAAAATCCGCCCTGATAAATTTACAATGTGTCAGAATATTACCATCCTCAATAACAAGCCAAAATGACCTGGATTAATGGAAGGGAACTACATTTTTCTTTTCTCCTTTGGAAATTCATGGGACTGATAGGCAATAAATGGAAATGGGGTATTAAAACAAACTATACATTATTCTATAAAATCCAAAACGATACGAAAGATAGAGACTTATTCCTTAAAGGACTTGAGGATTTCTCAGTTGGAGCTGGCTTTTCTCACAGGGAGAAAGTTGGATAGTTTCAGTATATTTTTTTTAAGTATTATTAGTAAGCAAGGGGTACTGCCACATATGAGAGTAAATTAGATTGGAAAAGCTTCTCTGAGCATCTATTGTCCCACTCTGAAGGTTACAACTACAGTTTGGCATGAGTTTATCTTAAAAGACATGAGCAGTTTATCTGTTTAGTCTGTTTATATCTGTCTAAATGGGCCTGAAATCAGCCTGTTTCTAAATCTAGCTCAAAAATCCACTCAGAGAAAAATCCTTTTCATATAGAGTGACTCTCACATTTCCCAAGCACTTTTAGCCAAAAGAATGTTCTACTATCTTTTAACTATACTTCCATAACTGTCAGTGGATCTACCTTATCATTTCCCACTTGAAGAAACTGCTTACCATGTTATCAACACAAGAAACCTATTATGGAAATGAAAAGAAAAAATGTTTCTTTTTTAATTCTTTTTCTCTTTGAAACTGTAAGGATCTTTTTTTCTACTGTGGGAGTGGTCAAATACAGGAACAATTGTCCCAGAGATCTTTTAGATTCTCCATATGTGCTGCTGCTTGAAACTCAACCAGATACAGCCGTGGGTAAGCTGCTCTAGCTGACCTTTCCAATCTGAACAATTCTGTGGTTCTCAGATAAACAAGCACAGAGTCTTAAGCTCTTATTTCAGTGGATAAGCAGTGAACCAGGCAGATATCTGTTAGGTACATTTCAGTTTCTGTATGCCTTTTATATTCTAAGTGCACTATTATCTCTCTATGACACACTGCTTTAATATATACATCTGTCAACTCCAGACAAATCATATCAGGGACTGTAAATGAAACTACAATTTATTGTTTAGTAAAGAAAGACAAATTAAAGCTGGTTTTACTTTGATCTGTCTGCTAAGAGAGAGATAGAAAAAAACAAATTATTAACCTTAGGGAGTTAAAACTACTGAATGTGCCACAGCCCCATCAGGGTGGAGACTCTGAATCTGTAGAGTTAACAGCATGCACTCTTCTTGTGCACAGCTAATGCAACTGCACATCAGAGGTAATAAATAAATACTTGTTGACTTTAGTACCTTTTGTTCATTCAAGAATCCATAAAGAATATTTGAAGCAATATTTTATCTCAGCATTCACCTCTGACTAGTCTTTCTTGGTGTACTGCAGGAATACTTTTATCCACATTTTCCCTGTTAGACAGTATGTACAGGTTGTCAGGTAAGGGTTCTGTGAGGACAAACCTCCGTGTTCAAAGTTTCTGAGTAGCAATGATATTCAGAATTGTCTTCTTCCCAGTTTTCAGCTATGTTCATAGGCATGAACTAAACATATCCTATAGACTTCCATTAACTTAGCAGGAAAGGAAAAAAGTTAGCATAATATACGATCACTTAGAAGATGCCCTTCTCCCAGTGATGGTTATTGTGTGTCCTGATACATTCAGTCACTTGCTACATCTAGATTTGACTCTGGCAGAATAGAATTGAGCTCTGTCAAGTTTGATAACAGAGACCGAAGGCTGCAGAAAGCTTACAGAAAAAAAAAATATATATAATATATATATATATATATATTAAGATGGTAGGATGAGGGATTGGGAAATTACAAACAAACAAAGGTCGTTCTACCATCCAGATGATATATAAAACATTAAAAAAAAAAAACCACATTAAAACAATGAAATTAAAAGGCATAAAAAGAAGTTGAAAGAAGCAGCAGCATCAGTGGCAAAAGCAGTTTGTCCAAAAAGTAATACTGCCCATGAGACAGGAATGCATCTCTGTGGCAAAGGCAGCTAACAACATCCTAGGCTATAATGGGAGTGGTGCCAGCAGGTCGAGGTGGGTGATTCTTTCTCTCCACCCAGTGCTGTGAGGCCACACCTGGAGGGCTTGGTCCAGTTGTGGGCTCCCCAGTACAAGACATGCACTTTAAGGAGTAATTTCAGCAAAGGGCTAGAAATATGAGGAAATAACTAGAGCAGCTCCCATACAAGAAAAGGTTGAGAGAGCTGGGATTGGTCAGCCTGGAAAAGAAGAGGGAACCAGGCTCTTGTCAGTGGTGTTCAGTGTCAGAACGAGACTAAAGAGACAAAAATTAAAAGACATGAAATTCCATCTAAACACATGAATCAATTTTTTACTATGAGTGGTCAAACAGTGGATCAGGTTGCCCAGAGATGCTGTGGAATCTCCATCCTCAGAGATATTAGAGGCAAAATAAAAAGAAAAAATTTGTATGACAAGGTACAATATATATAATTATCAACAAGATCAAACTCAGTTTTAGCTGCATGCTTATGAAAGAGTAATCCCACTTGTAAAGAAGTATGAAGGACAAACAATCCTCATCTATCAGAAACTGTCCATGATAATTCATCCCCTTATTTTAATTTTATATTTCACCTCTGAAATCATTTCAAGGATGAAGCAACTTGACAGAGCTAAACCAACAATTTTACTGAGTATTCTTTCACTGTCCGTATCAATGTGTTGTCTGGAGAAGGCTGAGCTAAATGCCTGCAAACTAAGAGAAGCAAAGCAGTATTTTATAGTCTGTAATTAATGAGTCACTCGGCTTGTTGACAAACATTTTGAACACTGATTGCAGCAATCATCATTCCTCCACCCATCATTTACACCAGCGATAGTGTCACAGCAGCAAGAGTTCTGTGATCCCCCAAAGCCTGAATACACAGTCTTCCTGATACAGCTTACAATTGCTGGAGACAGAATGTCATAGGTTTGTCTGTTTTAAAGGAAAAAAAAAAAAACCAGCTGAGAATTTTTTCCCCTATGCAGCTGTGAAAGAAAGGTGTTGAATGAGGGAGGGGATGGCTGGACTGATTCACACACACAGAAGAGCTAGCCCAAAGCCCCACATTCCAAGCTAATTGGCTAAGAAGACTGGGGGTGGGGGTGGGGAAAGGTGAGTTTTTCTCCTGGGGAAACTGCAACTTTTTACTTTTGCCCAGGACTCAGGGAGGGTGTGTGAGGAGAGAAAGAGACCCAGAGTTTCATCTTTTCAGCCAAGTCACCTAGTTGCCTTGGCCCCCGCTCAACTCCGTTTCCCTCACCCCCTGCCCTGCCCACCGCCCGTTCTACCTCGGATTTCATCAGAGAAGCCAGTGCCATCTGCGGAGGAACATTTGAGGGAAAAGGTCGCCTCTCCCCTCCTCCGTTGCCGTGTCGGCAGCAACTTGTACCCATTGACAAAGGGGTGATCCCAGCCAGATCCAGTTGTCAACAGCGAGAGTCCATAGGAAGAATCCCCTTTCCCCTTTATCCTCCCCTTTCAGTGGGGGGGGCCTCCCTTTGGCTCCTCCCACGGACTGGGACCAGAGCCCAACAGCGCCCCCTGCCGACCAGCACAGATCAACTGCAGGCTCTGCGCCTCCAGTGATCCAACAGCGCCCCCCTCTGATCATGGTTAGAATTGCGCCAAAAGGCGAAAACCACTGGTTTTGTGTGGGAATTTGGGTGCAGAATTGTTGTTTGGTTTTGTTCTTTTGTTGTGCTACCTATACACGTATATCCTCTAATAAAGAGCTGTTGTGGGTTTTTTTTTCTTCTTTCTCCGCATTTCCTTGACTGGAGCCTCTTAATTTCAGATTTACAATTACTTAGAGGGGGAAGCTTGGTCTTCCTCATAACTCACCCTCCTTAGCAAACACTTCTGTCTCATTAAACTGAGAAACAGAAAAAGAGTTAAAGGACAGGGCAGGAAGGGATATTGAGGTTTCACCTTAAGCATATTAATTGTTTAGTAGGATACCAAGGTTATGCCGAATTATTACAGTCACTTACATTAGAGCAGCTCCTTGTCCTCTGTTGTCAGGCCAGATCTGAAGGGTCTAAGTCAATGTGAAATAAATATTTCTGCTGATGATAACCAGTGCTCAACTCCACACAGAGTAATTTAAGGCTTTATCATTTTCCCTATAATGAATGTTACTTCTGTTCTTAATTCACACGCAGAATCTGACACAGGAAGGGAGTCTGATGTACCACTGGTTTAGAAGTAAGCTTGGTCTGAAGCAGGAGACAGGCACTCACCCTTCCAGCAGTTTATTTGTAACTGTTTAATGCCAAGGAGCTGTTCTCCTCTGGGGCAATGTTTCACTGCTTGCACTCCTCCCTGCCACTTTACACAAAAACTCTGCTCATGAGGATTGACAGACATCTGCTTATTACTATGGGTGTGTACTGGACTAATCACCTAATGACAAATTATGCCATTAATAGGTAATAGTTAGCACTCCCTTACAGAAGCTGCATATTTCCACAGAGTTCTTCAGGGCCATTTCTCAGCAAGGTGAGAAATCTCACGTGTTTTACAGGAAGCTTAGCACAAATGTTTAGCCGTATGTTCTTCAGCACCTGTTTGAAAGACAGTTTATTTTACTAGTTTTTTTAAAAAAGGAATCAGATGTCGTGAGAAGACTGTAGGCTTGTTTTACAGAGCACGTCTTTAAAGTTTTCTGTGATATCATAGCCCTCTGAAGTGTGCAATGTTGTAAACAGTTCTCATGCCAACTAAAAACGGTGTTACTTGCCTGGTTGGTTAACCACTTATCTCTTATCTGAATTACCCACCTCATTAGGTGGAATTCCTGCTTAAGCTGTGATGATTTGCTCAAGAATGGCAGCCATGGGGGGTTCAGCCCAAAACACTGATGTCTGGGTGCCATGTGACTTAATACGTATTATATATACCCCCCTGTTGTTTTTCCCCTTTCCTTTTTTAGTGATTTTACATGGGGATGAAATAAGGAGAAGCAAAGAATTGCAGCAGTATAGAGAAACAGGCTTGAAATAATCCTGTACAGGTGGCTGCCAACAGCCCTCTGTAACACGATAACAAACAAAGTGACAGACTCAGCCACGGGGAGGAAAAAAGTGCTGGTTAAATTCAAATGCACAAAAGCCTGAGCAATTGGACTTCTCACAGGTACTGGAATATTTTAAACCCAAAGTAATACACAATGCACAATGCAAAACTAGCAATAGCAGCATTCCCAGCTACCTCAATTTTAATCACAAGTCTCATGATACTTTGAGACTTCGTTAGGGGTCTACCTCAGTTGTGTGGGTTTTTTTTTTTAAAGAGTAAGTTTTAAACCTCATTGTGGAGGAAAGGGTAAAAATTCAAACTAACCACTTTTTATGAGATAGATTTTGGGGAAAAGGCAAAAAAGCCACCACGTATGTATTGACTTTTAAGCTACTCCTGGAATTTGGGAAAACTTGAGGTTGGCAGTACAATACTGATATTGAGGCAATCTATTTAGTTTCCTTTAATACTCTTTAAGGAGAGGCAAGCACATCTACACTCCTACATTAACCCAATTGAATATACATACTCATACTCTGTGCTGAGATGCAATGCTTCTCTTGGATGGGTAGCATTTTTGGCAGTCCAAAATTCCTCCTAAATTGCAAGGAATTGTTCTGTTTTATACTACTGCCTTCCTCATCTGTCTTTACTGGAAAAAATCAAGCATAATACCATTGCACAGATTTATTACAGGAATACTGCACATTATCTACACTATATAACCTGGCTACGAAAACCTCATGTCAAAATGTTATCAGCTCTTCCAAAGGATTATATAGCAGGGGAAATAAATAAAGAAAGAGTTCAATATTCAAGCTTCCAAATGATTAGCTGTCTCTACCCTAATACAAATAGGTCAAATCCTGTGGATGAAAAGAAAGAAAAATAGAAAGAGAGAAAATGAGCCTCAGCCACCTACACTCCACTTGGAAACATTGAGCAAGAAGAGTTCCTGTATGTACACAGACTTACCATCAGCACTCAGCTACAGTGCAGCTTACCAAGTCCAGGGGCAGAACTGGTCTCACCAGACAGACAGGCATCCTTGCTTTGAGTGGGGAGGTTGTTTGGATACACTCTTCAAAACCGTACAGCAACAGCAAAAAAAGAACATACAAAAATAAATATATTCATGATGTTATGAGTGCCAAATAAGTAACGAGTCTGCTTCAAAAATCCATTAGATCCATTTTAAATAATTATGAGGAATTATCTCATCTCTGAGTTCCTACATTGCACCTATGGATGTAAAACATTTTTGTCCCACTAATAGGCACTAAAAAGTTATCATTTAAAAAGTAGCCTAGAAGACTTTGCAAGCTTTCTTTTTTCTACTTTCAGTTTTAATACAGAAAATAGGCATGGATACTAAAACACATAGTATAATTATGGTATGGGTAACACTGGTTTTCTATCTGTGCACGTATTACTATCTCTCTAATTAAACAGATCAGAATTCAAAGTGCCCTGCGTTTCTGGATTACAGCTATTGGCAGCACTGGAAAACACTAGATACTGCTTTGCTCCAGCTGTGCCTACTCAATTCTAATATCATTCTCAGAGACACAATGTCACAGCTATGAAAGTGGTGCTCTGCAGAAATGGAGCAGTGCCAGTATCACCTCAGCCAATAGCATACAAATCTAAGCCCTTCTGAGAGCAGTAACAATGCAAGGTAGGCAAAGTACAAGGCTTGACACAGCCTTATGTGTGCATTAGCTGAGGCAACCAGGATGAACAAAGTTAAATATGGCTGGATGAGTCAACAGCCTATGTGGATTCCTAGTACCCTTTTCCATCAACCTCAAGGGCTTCATGAATAAAGATAAGCTACACAAAGGCATCCATTTCCGCCCCAACATCATTGTACATGCACTTCTAATGAACTTCCTTATCTCTTTTGGTACCAGAGACCTGACAGATTAAATAAACCCAAGCCTGAATAATTTAATAATATCCAAACAAATAGCTGAGAAAAATGAGAGGGAATGCTTAGCTGACAGTGGTGGATGAACAAAAACTTATCTTTAGCTGATAATGCGGTCAGTGTGTGATGTCAACACAACTACAATTGCATCACGCAAACAACAAACAAAAGTTACCTTGACTTTCCTAACTGTCGTTCAGTGAGCTCAAGTTAAGTGTCTGCAGCAATGAGAGACAAAAAAAGAGAGAGGGAGGAAAACACTGAAACTTGCTATGGCTTTGCACTATGAGGTTCAGGTTTTGAAAACCTGAGGATTTTGGTATTTGATTAAATACAAAGTCCTAAGCTTCTTCCACTATGGTTTCAGGGCTTGTGGGCAATTTCTACTCATCGCCCATGCTGCAGCAAGACAACATACCAATGTTCATCAGAAAGGAAAATTAGAAGATGCTATGATTTTCTACAGAGTTACCACCCCAAGGCATTTCCTTTGATAATCTTATTTACTTAGCTGCTCAGATTTCACAAATCCTGCTAAAATTAATGCATCCTAAAAGTGTTTGGTATCACTGAGCACTAATCAGTGAGTAGATGAGGCTTGGTTCAAACTACAGAGTTCTGCCTCTGTGTCAAAACCAAGTTGTCACCTTGGTGTGCATTGTTGCACCAGAAAAACCTTCATATTGGGGAAGCAGCTACACAAAGAAAGAGGAGATTCTGTTTTTGTTTAAAAATGCTGTATTCATAACTCTACCATCTGACATGCCCTGGCTAAGGTTCAAGTCAAACTGGAGAGAGAGATAATTACAAAGCTAATATTGCATGTGCACTTTTATTGGCTTGAAGAAATTCCAGGTAAAATTATGGGGAATCTGTCTGTAAAGGATCTTTGATACTTCACTTGTTTAGCAACTCACGATATCCCAATCTTTACTTGTTCTTTGAGCCACCTTTTATAAAAAACACCACAACCCTCCAAAAGCAAAAGGAGAGTTGAAAAAACAGGTCAGTTTCTTAGAAGTGTCACTTTGGCAGCTTTCAAAAAAATGCGTCCTAGACTAGTTACTAGTTTCTTTCTCCATGGCTTTTATGGCACAGGTACGCTGTTTCTTCATTATAGCTGTTTTATTAGAAGTCCCAGGGGGACAGGGCAGGATAGGCACTGCCACTTTCTGTGAAGAACACAACTAACTTTGTTGAAGCACAATGAATCTGAGATTGGTTTTAATTACTGTTATTTCCTGTCCTTTTTGACAGGCATAACATCTTCTATCCTTTCATGTTGTTTAGGGCTGAGATAGATGGTTCCATTTGTATGAACAGCAGGTCTCTTTAAAACCCAAGATTTCTGGCTGGCAACCTCTCCCTCATCTCTCCATGTACACAAAGGTATTTCTGTGCTATGGTCTCAACAGAATATGTCTATTCTCCTATGCCACACACTGATGGGAACTAGCTTTTTTTCCTGCTAGACTATCAAGTCAGCTGTTGCACTGACTGCCAT